CAGAACACCCAGTTGAAACTCAGTTGCAATTCAACTCAACTCGCCAAACTCAGTCTGAGTTAGGGCAACCAGTTGAACTCAATTATGAGTCAACTCAGAAAAATTCAAAAAAATAGAGGAGTAGAATTTGAGGATCGATTTTTTCAATTTCCTTTACAAAAAACCAACAGATTTGAACTAAAGAAGGGTTTCGAATCTTTAATCACCAGTTTTGTATGCAATCCAGTTAATAAGAAAGAATTTCAGAGTTTAAAAAAAACTTTTTAACAAAACATGAAACCTAGGGTTCCAAAAATGATAGATCTGAAATTCAAGAGAAGAAAAAAAAAATCAAGAAATCGGCTCCGATACCACTGTTATGTTTTAAAACTTAAAACATTAGGATCGATCTTTCCAAAAACCATTAAAGAACTGCAGAAATTAAAGAAATTAACACAAGATATGTTTTGTCCTTTTAAAAGGGCCCGGATGTTCGATTTTGCAACCTAATCACCCGTTAAGCATCTCTCACGAGATTAAGCTCTAGATCCACTAATAACGAACAAGAACAGTGTACAAATGTACAAAGAAATTGGAAATTTCTTCAAGTTTTTTCTTGCCTCTTGACATAACAACACAACACTGTTTTTACTCTCACAAATCGCACAAAACAACCATTTCTCTACACAAAGAACAGCCTATTATCAATCACAAAGATCAATTTCATCTAACACAGCCAAACCCTAGTTTTCACTCAGAAAATGAAGGACAGAGAGTAAGACGAAGAGACTCCAAAAGAATTCTCTAAAGATAGTCAATTAAAAGCCAAGACCCTGTGTGTAAGTATCCGTATTCATCCAAACAATCAGAGGGCAGGGACTTAGCCATGTGTACGGCTAATTTTAATTCTTCAAGATGCGTATTATCAAAAACACGTTTTTATCATACTTGAAATAACCACAGCAATCCGGTGGAGCATTTGGCCCAATTTACAGAGGCCCACAAGGCCAAGAATCATGTGAGGCAGCCCACAAATTATTAACAATTACTTCACTTAAAAATCCTTCCCTCCCACACGCTTCCCTTCATTTTTATTTTGTTGTGTGATTTGTGGTGGGTGGGGGTGTCAAAATAATAATGTTGATTGTGTTTTTCAGAAGATTAAGGCAAAAACAAACGCTTTAGTATTTGGTTGAATGTCGAGTGAGCGTTTCTGTACAAGTTTAACTTCTTATTTGGCAGGAATATATGGACTACAGAAAATATAGGTACTTAAGGCTCCATGGATCGTCCACGATAATGGATCGTCGAGACATGGTTAGGGACTTCCAGCATCGGTATTTGCTTAAATTTCTTGGTTTCTGGTCTTCTATAAGTGCATGTTTAATATGTAGTACTGGATAGGACTAAACTGCATGAGGATTAAAAAATTTCCCTCTTTTTCTTTTCCTTAGTAACATGCTCCATATAAAACATGCTATAAATGTGAGTTTTCTGCAAAATCACACCTGATTGTAGGAACGATATCTTTGTGTTCTTGCTGAGTACAAAAGCTGGTGGTCTGGGTATAAACTTGACAGCTGCACCGTCATATTTTATGAAAGTGATTGGAATCCAACTTTGGATTTACAGGCAATGGACAGAACTCATCGGCTGGGTCAAACTAAAGACATCAGTTTCATTCTCATTACTTGGACCTTTTCTTGAACTATAAGCATGTCAGTAGTTCTAAGCTGACTGTTTTGCCAGTTCATGTGTGCCCCCTTTGAGCACATTTGATTCTGTGAAAAATGAAATAGCTTTTGATAAGTAAACATTGATGGGATATGTACAAATTCTTTTGTTCTCTTATATTCTTATATAAGCTTCACTGTATATATTTTGTTTTTAGCCTTGTTTCTGTAATCACCATACATAATGAAAGCTTGTGGAGGCAGTTTTACATTTTAATTGTTAAAACGACTTGTTATGTGGAAGATTAATACGCAGTGGTACCATGTAGATTGTTAAACTAAACTGTGAAATGGTTTTAATTTTTGAAAAACTCCACAAGTTTGTCTCTTTTTTCCTTCTCTCTCTCTCTAAATTTCGCTCGTTATGCTGAATAATTTTTAATTTGACAGATCTTTTTTTTATACTACACACTATTTCGAAACTCATCTCTGTCAGAAGTGGATTTTCAATCACGCAGGTTTCTGTATTGGTGTTTTTGGGCCATGATTGAAAATCCACATCATATTTGTGTTATATCCTCCATCATCTTGGTGTTTATGGGCATTCTCGGTTCTGTTTCCTATATTCAGAAGTGGATTTTCAATCATGCAGGTTTCTGTCTATCGCTTGATTTGTTAAGAGACAGTCGAGGAAAAAATCTTGTAGAGAGCCAGTAAGAAAAACACAGTGCAGCAGCTTGTCATGACAGGTGGCCATGTTCAGGGTGACCTCTTGGCTCCAGAGGATGTAATATCTTTACTGATTGACGACGCTCAACAGGGGCATAAACTAAAAGAAGTTTCACAGCAGGTGTGCTCTAAATATCTTTTTTATTTATTTTTTTCTCCTAATTTTTAAAACACCTTATTCCTACTTGAGATTATGAGAGTTTGAATCTGGAAGTCGCAATGTTATACTAAAATAATTTGTGTCCCTCCAAAACCAGGCCAAAGATAGGCAGAAGAAGAAAGGAGGAACAAAGGGCATACGGATTGATGTGGAAGGTGATGCATCTTTGGAGGATCTTGCAAACCCTGAACGGGTACTGAACCTGAGCTTACTGATGCCAATAAAGAAAGTCCGACAGTAAGAAGGTGATAATTATTAGAGCAGCACTACACTGCCAGACAAAGGTTTTTACAGAGGCTCTACAAGCCTCTCACAGTGGAGGAGGTCAGCATTTTTTGTGCAATAATTATATGGGGCCGATGTGGGACCCACACTCACATGTGAGTGCCCTATGCACTACCTGTGAAAATCGACCCTGTACATCTGGTTTTATTTTAATTTTTACTGAAAAAATTCCCAGAAAAAAGTAACAAATGTAAGCATGTTTGGATTCAAGAAGACTGAAGTTGTTAATATAACTCTTACCTATTTTTAAGCTTGTCCAAACATTCTCTTCTCCGTTTCAAATTACTGCTTTGTTTGTTGTCATGGGATCCTATAACATTTTAACCAAACTAGATGACTCCTGAGTCCTGAGTATCATCAATTTTTCTGAGTAGGATGGAAATTGGAATACAATGTTCCAGAATCTGATACATACTTTGAAATGTATTTTCACCTAACGAGTATTTTAGTTTTTATTTCTTTTTACATATTTATGCTCTTTGGATTATACACCAACTGAGATCAATATACTTGATGAAATATTTCACTGGCAATGGACATTTTCTTGAATAGATAATTAGATTTGTCTGCATATCATGACATGTAAATAATATGCCTATCTTGTCTATCTGCAGAGGAAAACAGCCTCAGACAAGCGAACTCGACTGAAACCTAGGGCTCGAAAGAACTCCAAAAATGCTGACTCCTTATCTAGCAAAGTGCCAATGGACTATGAGCTGGACGATCTCTCTCGGCACATGGACATGACGCAACAAAGACCAAAGAGATTGAAGAGGCTGACAAAGAGCATAAATGAGAACATTGAACCTGCATTTATGGCTACCCCTAACCCTACCCCAGGACAGGTATAATAACTGCCTGGGCCCGAGCTGGGTGGTGGTCTCAGACCATGAGCTGCGGAGGATGCAACTCCGCGACTCATCAAGTGGGTGGCGATCATCTTCAACTTGTCTGTCGCAAGTGCTAATTCGGTTATGCATGGCAGCTGAAGAAGGGCGCGATGCCAATGTACAGTAGAGAATGGCTCTTAATACAGACTATTGTAGAATAAGTAATCAGCAGGCCTGTGCAAATTATTTTGTTTATATTTTGTTTCCAGATTCTATACCAGAAATATAGTGCTAATGTATATAGTTGGATATGTTAATAACCCATTTTTGTTGTAAAAGCAGCTGTATTAGATGACCAAAAAAATCTTAGTTAGAGATGCACCCAAGAACTTGGTGGTGGAAACTTATTTTTCTGGAAGAATGATTTGTCAAGACAAAAATTGATTAGTTCGGTTAAAAAATAAAAATAAAAATTGATGATGATGGATGCATATTGACAATAATGATACTATTTAGTCTTCACTGAGGTTACAGTTCTAGTCTAAATAGCCTTCACGTGGCATTAAATAATATGTGAAATTAAATAAGTCATTTCATTTCACCTTTCATTTAGTCTATTATCTAACGTCATCGAAGCTGGGGTTGCAACCTTAGTGGGGCTATTTATCATTACTCAATTGACAACCTTGTTGTCTTTAATGGATCTAGTTTTGTGAATACAGTATGGCCAATGTTAAAGAAAACAAAAAATAAAATTTGCCTACCATAAAAAGTCTCATCGAGCAATGTAATACCAAATATGTGTTGAGTGATAGAATTCGTAAGATATTGATTAATATGATTCAATATCATTGATATTAAACACTAGTTTAGGTGACAACTAAATCATATAAAATGATAGATTCACTTAAATATAAAGTCATGTAATATATTCAGTCCCTGTCTGAGACTCATTTTGGGTTAAAATGTGTTTTGAAATTGTGATTTTTTGAGAATATATTATAAAAAAATAAGGAAAATTTTTAAGTTTATGTGTAGAAGTGTTTTATAAGAGAATGTATGGTTGAAAATAAGTTATAAAATGAGGATTACCCACTTGGTTGGTCCACCCTGGAGTTGTCGTGGACCTGGCAGTAGGGGCCTGCATTCCCCGTGAGCTTGTATTTGAAAAATGAAAAAAGGGCTTCGCTGAACTAACCTAAAAGAATGCCGCACTACCTCAAAATGTTTCAACATGACTCGATTGAAAACTCTATATAATAGGCTAGGCTTATAAACATATTTACACAGTATCAGTGGCGAAGGGGCCCGAGGCAAAAGTTATCCAATTCAAGGGACATGAACTGAAACTATATGCAAATTTTATTTGGTGAAAAAAGATTAAAAACTTCAACCCACCCACCTTCACACAAAGAACATTGAATTATTGAAACCCCTAATAGAAAACAAGTGTTTCCTGTAGAGAATCAAACAGTACAAATCAAGCACAATTATAGATTTTCAGTTGACAGTTTACTTTTCACATGCTTATACATCCCTTATTTTTTCATCCACTAAATAGAAAATCAGTCAAGGCTGCCTCCAAGAAGTGAAGGCCTGTAGAAGGCATGGCTCTGTGCAATCTCAATTCGATCACGGGGATCATTCAGGTTCTCATCCCGTAGTGCTTGAAGAATGCCTCGCGTGCCTTGTTCCCTGTAGATTGATTCAATGCTCTGTAAGTAGAAATTCGAATTTTCCGATATTAAAAATGTCTTGCAATAATTGAATCCATAAGTTCTGTCAGTACTTAAATAACAATCTATTCTGGTGATTTTTTTTCCTCAATTCAACATCGAAAATTATTTCAAAAAAGTAGTTTGCTTTTGAAGGGCTCAAGTATACTTTTCTCTTAGATAAGAAAATATATAACGAGAAAAAAATGTACCTGGTAATTAGAATTTTATACAAAGTCTTTAAGATTGGACACAGCTCAACCGGGGCAACTGGCTTGTTTGCCTCAGGGTGCAATACATTTAAACTAGACTGGCTTAGAAGTTCATAAAATGCTCCAACTGCAGAAACTCCCTGGTTTTGGAAAAAGGGAAGAAATAATAATTTATTTTCTAATGTGATACCAGAATGAAAGAGTTCCAAGTATATCCATATAACAAATATGCTCAAATCATCTAGGAAAAGATATAAACCTGAATGGTTCCTTTTCCGCTGATGCTATCTCCCATATCAAGGCTCAGTTCTCCCTTGGCTATCATTTGACCATACCATGCATTACGACCTTTTAACAAGGTTACATACGTATCAGCAAGCAAAGGTCCTGCAAGCTTCTCGGGTTCTTCAGCCAACAAATGAGTAATGAATATCATCTCGGATGTGCAATGCGCAAAATATACTGATTTGCTTGTAGCACTTTCTTTTGTCAGAGCTGCTACCATTCCTGAGATCGTAGAGCAAACATCAGAAGTTGATGTTATGGATTAAATCCATATTCCTACTTTTGAGAGCAATCATCATGAAGAACAAGCAGAGCACATGCGACACAAGTTCACAATGATTTACTGAGAGCTATCCCACTCGCCCCAGCAGGGTTTCTATACAATGGATAGAAGAAATAAGGGGTTCTCCCCACACCTCTCTTGCACACAACCACAAAAAAAACCACCACCACTTATAAATCCTTTACGTAGTATGAGTATTAGGTCTATTCAAGGTAGAGGGGATAAGTGTACGGTATTAGACTCCATGCAGCACAACAATTGAAGCTTAAAGATTGTTTCTCAGCATGGAAGCATTCTTGGAAAGATACAAGAAAAAGATTGATAGCATAAATCACTTAAGTTTTTCTAGGATCATAAATTACAGTATGCCAACTTGCAACTTTCATTAATCTATTGTCAAGCATAAGTGATGTTGAACGTTTATCAACTTCAGCATCAGGGAAATCAAGCATGTCTAGGCATATTTTAGGAGTGTATAGGATGATTGATAAAACTTCATGCCAGTTCTCTCAAATTTTCAAATAATAAATAAATTTAAGAAATAAAGTGTCAAAGTTGCATGGAGAAAGTAAAAAGAAAAAATGAAAAAAAAAGAAAAAGAAACAAAGGATGAAAAAGAATTCAATATAAATAAGAGAGTAGAGTTACCAGCTCCAATGGCATAAACATTCTTCAGTCCTCCCATGACTTCATGAGTGACAAGGTCACTGTTGTCCCAAACAATGAAATGAGGTTGCCTTAAGAACTTAGCGAGCTGTATTCTCCATTTTCCGGCTCCACATACTCGAGCATTAGCATATTCCTTGTTATAGATCTCTGACGCAATATTTGGTCCACCAAGATAAAGAATATTCTCCATTGGTACTCTGGCTGCCAGGTAATATAATATAGTTAAGGAGCTGAAAGAATTAGGACGAGTAGACAATTTCTTTTAAATTAGATGCTTTGCTTTGTTCTATTTGATTTTCCTATTATTTAGAATTTGGGGAGACGTGGGGAAGACATGAAGTATGATTAGTAAGATGGAAAGGCGTAATATCCAACGCATTGAACTCTAAACAACATTTTCATAAGATAGTATTAGTCTAAGAATGCAGCAAAATGGCTTCGTTTGAGTAATATGCTATAATAGATAGATATCAAAGGTGCAGATTCCTGTGGTGGATATGACAGTAACCTTCTTTGTGATTTTACATGCCAATACGCAGGCAACCATCACTTACTCATAAATGAAAAAACACTCACTTAGCGAGACTGAGAAGAACCTCCATTTTAAAAGCTCTACTTGAAGAAGGTTGAGAATCCTTAATGCTTTAAGAACACAATCTAGTCTAAAGAAAATACATGCACGGAGAACAACTTTTATTATTCAACTGAATCAAAAGGCAACTTACATTATTCAGTTGAAAACATTATCAAAAGGTATTTCATGCCAGACATTTCTGGACATTATATTGCATACAAAAGATTTTAGTCTCTTGAACAAACATGGCATTGCAAGCAATATTATCATCTGCTGACATCCCATTAGGTTTGTCCTCTTTCTAATGAAGAATGAAAAGAAGCAACGCAACTATATAATCTGGTTATTTTCATCCGAGCTTCTAATTATATTATAAATAGACTAGTTAATTTCATTAGTTCCTAATTTTTCTCCTTTTTTCCCCTTAAGTTCACAGACAATTGACAACCCCCATGTATCTTGTGAAGGCAGCCCGAACTCGAAATTGAAACAAGCAAGTGTACAAATTGCTATCAGAATGTATTATCTAAAATGCTATGGACAAAATAAGCTAAAATGGAAAAGTAAGCCGTACTTGCCCGATTAATCATCTGCGTAGGAGTAATGATACGAGGAATGGGGTCGAGTTCAGCCTCTATGCCCTTCGCCAATGATATGATGATCGGCATGGTGATTCTCTCTTTCCAGTACTTGCTAATCTCTTCAAAAACTTCGCGTGTTTCAGTTGAAGGCAATCCATTAATTACAATATCAGCATCCCAAACAGCCTCCTGCAAATTAGTCACAACCTTCAAAGGAGATAGTGGCGTATCAATCATGTTCAGGCAGAATCCATCTTTCAAAATCTCATCCGCATAAAGTGTACGATCACCCAATCGCGCCTCAACATACTTCAGATATGCACAGCGCCTGATCAACCTTCTCAATACATCTTCCCGGGAATTGATCACTTCAAATAAATGTTCTGCTGTGGCTCTATCAACAGCTCGTCCTGGCCTTCTCCATATTCTAATCTGAACCTTATCTCGAAATTGACCATAGCTGTCTTGAAGCAAAGCTGCAAACACACTTCCCCATGCACCAGCTCCTACACCAACAATCTTCAACAGATCACCATCGGCCTTGCCTAGTAATCTACGAAATTCATTGAGCTTCTCTTCCGTACCGTTGTGGTTCTGTATAGCCCCATTCAAATATGATTCACTGCTCGTTACCTCAATACTGCCCACCATCTTTTTCCAAGTAAAATCAAAACCAAGAATTAACGAATTAAACTCCGAATAGCTAAACCTTTCTAAAGAATCTACTCACTTTTCAGACGAAAAATTTCCTAAACGAAGCAGGGCTCTTGAGTCTTGAAACAACTTGCCCTCTGTCTTTACTTCAATTTTCTTAAACTAGATTCAAATAATTCACCCTTTTATACACAAATGGGCATGTATATGTAGTTTTCTCACTTCAAAAAGAAAAGCTCAAAATTTCCCAACTGCCGATTTCTTTTACGAGTTGCTTTCTCAATCATATACTCTAGTTTATCAACAATGTACCCTTAATTCCACTTCCCAGATACTTAGGGCAGCCACAGAGCTGAATGTTTATTAACGCAAATTTCACCTACATCTGAACTAAATTTTTGATTTCTATCCACCCAGAATTCTAAATCCCTCAATCCATTCTCTTTCTTAATTCCCTAAATTAATATAAAAAAGACAAAACACAACAGATATGATCGATCAGATTATTATATTATAAATAAGAGATCAAGCTTGGTTTTTGGTTTACAGTCTATTGAAATTAAGTATATTTAGAAATAAATACAAGAAACATTGTAAATTCCGCCAGAGTTTGTTCATCTACCAAGCAGATAAATCATCAATAAAGAAAGAAAAGAAAAATTCAACAACTCAAACCTTTACGTGTCGGTTAGTACAAAGCAAAAGTCAAAACTCCAAAATCCCATAAAAAAATTTCAAATATTTGAGTCTGCATTCTAGTTTCACACGAAGAATCAAGTACAAATCACTGGAAAAAGACCCACAAAAGCATGAGAATTGCATGCATATGTGAAATTAGATCAGCTCAAAGTGATTTTTTTTATTTTTTATTATTATTATTTTATTTTTTTTGTGGGTCACGGAAATTCCAAATTTTTTGACCCTTCACGTACGATATTCATTGAGCAGTTATAAATGCATACAATGTAGTGCGAGAAAGCTAGATAGAGACAGCATTGATTGACGCAGCTGAATTGGAAAGGGTGCTAGCATTAAAGGTTTTCGATAGGGTGCCAACTCCCCCAGCGGCTATTATTATTATTTTTATTTTTATTTTTAATTTTTTTTAACGAGGTGTCTCAGCTTGCGCCAGACTATATCCTCGTCCTAGAATCTCCGGCCCCTAGCTGCTCAGGGAGGTAAATCGCAGGATGTGTCCTTGTTGATTCCCAGGTCCCCACGTGGCTTTTACTCCTTCTCCAAAGGGAGCCTCCTCCATGGTGATTAATCCACCAATAATTCCTCCTTTATTGGATCAAAAGTTCTCACCAGGAATCGAACTCCCCACGCTTGATTTCAGAGCCCCCCAATGTGATTGTTCCATCAACTTGGATGTGCCCTGGGGGGCTCCCCCAGCGGCTATTAATTTGGACGTGAGCTGGTCACCTTAGAGCTTGTTTGGCTATTTGGTTTAAAAAAGTAAAGGTTATTTAAAGAAAAGTACATGTTTAATTAACGTTATTTAAAGGAAAGTAGAAATTTATTTATGACAAAACATATTATAGAAAGCTCATAATTTAAAGGGAAATTTACAAAATACATTCATTCCTAGGTTGTAATTACACTATACAAGTATTTCATAAACTTACATTTTTCATAATGGTTTACAAAAGACACAATTTGCTAAAATTTTTACAAATATATCGTTATAAATAATCAAATGGACAAAATTACTCCAAACTGAAATAACAAATATATAGTACATTCAATTTATGATTTTTTTTATTAAAAAATTATATATTTTTATATAAAATTTCCTAAACTATAACGTCAAATCAATAAAATATTAAAAAATTAAGTAAATATTTGACTCTTCCAACATTTTAAAAAAATATATATGTATAAAAATTCTCAATTGTTATGTTTTAATATAATTAACAAAAAACTGTTCAATGAGTAAAAATTAAAAATAATCAATTATAATAAATTTTTTTCTTTTATATTAGATGTTATTTTGTAGCTAAAATCAATTTCTTATTCGTTTTAAGTTGAGGTAATATTGCAACTTAAAAATTATTAAGAACATATGTCTAGTTTTATTAATATCTATTATGGACGAAAATTTTCTTTTCTACGAGAATAATCTATAAATATAATTAATAAAAATATATCATATGATGTTAAAAATGAAAATGATAAAAAAATTATGTATATGACGCAATGAGAGGACTCGACTAAATGTTAATTTATGGAGAGAAATACATGAGAAAGAATAAAAAAAATTACTTATTTGATGAAAATGAAATTGAAATTGATTTTGTGGAGAATAAAAAAATAGTTAAAAATTGATAGAAAAAGCGTTACATGGTGTATGACTAAGAGTGTTATCTGTTATTTCAATTATTAATATTTTGATTTATTTAACTACTTTGCATGAAAAAATTATATATATATTTTTTAAACAAAAATTACTTCTTCTTCTTCTTCCTTTTTTTTATTATTATTATTATCATACTTAAAAACGTAGTACGTAAATTATAAATTCAAAAAATGTGGTATATAAAGTATGCAATTATAGGATCTAATCTAAATTATTGGCTTATATATTTTGTTGAATCTTACTTGAAGTACAGGGACCTATTTCCCTGCCAGGATACACACATAGTGAGGTCCACTATTAAGTGAGGGACTGACAAGCCCCCGTGAAATTAATCCCTAGTTATAGTGCCTCTTTTCTGACAATTTAGATTAGTGGTCTAATCCTAATGTAGAGCGGTTAATTGTAGCCAAATCCTTGAATTATGTCCGTATAAAAAAATTGGTAACAAAAAGTTTTTGCCTCAAGTTTTAATTATTGTTGTGTTAGATTTTACCCATACAGACAATAATTGTAATAATAAGGATAACGATAAGATAGACACCCAAATACTTGTGTGCAATGCGATTATCGTGAAAAACTCTACCGATCCTATTTTGGACAATGATAACCCGTCTTTAAATCTTTCCTTTTTCCAATCTACTTTCGTTCAGGTACAACTTGCTATGTGATGGGACCAAATGTGATTTCTAGCACGTTTGTAATTGTTGTATGTTGCAACTGGTGATTGTAAAGAGGATTAAATACTTTCTATTTTGAAAATAATATTTCGTTATGCTCTGATCGTGAATAAGTGTATGAGACATTATGTACATAGCATTTTATGTACAAAACACATATTTCAAGTGATTTGATCGTGAAATTCGTATAACTTGTTCGTAAAAAACATGTATTTCAAGTGTGTTCAAAATCGTTTAGTTTTACAATATTAGGCCTTGGTCAAAAATAATTTGAACAAACAAAGTCAGATTAATGACACATTTCTAGACGGAAGGAAAAGAACTCGATCCGAGTCACCAAACTAAAAATAGTGAAGATGAGCTTTCTACCATCTACTACTCTTTCAAGAATGTTAAAACAAACAAAATACTTTCCTTTTTCCATTGGGAAATTAGCACAAACAGTCTCAAACTTTTGCTCAAAATGTAGTTTTTATCGAAATTTTCAATCGTGACGCAAATGCTTTCAAACCTTTTAGACGGAATCCATCCAAAAAGAAGAGTTAGTTTTGCATGTATAACATTCTGTTTTTATTTCAAGGAGGGTAATTTCATCAAATGACTCTCTCCCAAGAAGCCCGGAGTTTGGCCCACTTTACACCTCTGCTTGACTTGAGCTATGAAAGAGGTCAAACAGCTCACCATAAGGAATGCAGTGCTCTGTAATCTCTACATCCAAGCACTGGAGGAGGGAAATTCTAAGTGAGATATGGTAGTTAGCAATAACTAGAGATGTCAATCGGGCTCGTCGACTCGGGCCAAGTCCCATTTTTGGGACATGGGCTTTGCCCAAGCCGGCCCACTAGCCCTTATTTTAAAAAAAAAAATTATGGCAGTAATTAAAATGCTGCCTTTTAAGGCAACAGCTTACTTAAAAAATAAAAATAAAAAGAGAGTGAGGGGGAAAAATGGGCCGGCCAGGCTCAGCTCGGCTCGGAAAGGGCCAAGTCGAAAGCTCGGGTAGAGCCTAAAATTTTTGAGCGAGCTTTTGCTCGGCCCGGCTCGAGCCCCAAAAAAAGCTCGACAATTTTCATCGAATCGAGCTCGAGCCTCAAGTTTTAACTCGCAAGCCAGCTCGACTCAACTCATTGACAACCCTAGCAACAGTTATACTAGAGAAATGTAAGCGAGTAGGTAGGAGTGCCACTACACAGTAAAAACACACTGAAAACGAAGAAATAAAAGAAGGATCAAGCTTGTTGTACACCATGCTAAAGTCCCCTCACACATGAGGGGGCCTACCATTAATGAAAAATTGATGGGCCCCCTCGTGTAAGTGGACTGTACAAACATGGTGTACAACCACCTTAACCCATAAAAAAAAAAAGGAATAAAGAGATGAGGAAGTACACAATTTAAAGACAAACTAAGACTTTGTTTGTCTATCATTTTACCACATTATTTTTTCTATAGTATTCATTTTTAATCACATTCTTCATTAAAATAATATTACATGTAAATCAAAGACTATTCCTTCTTTTTTAACCACACATTTTCAACATCAATCACTATTCCATAATATATTATTCACAAATAATGGGGGCACAAACACCCCCTAAAGACCACGAAAACCGGGCATCAACTATGATCATCCATGCTAAGATGGTAATCTAGGAAAAAGTTCGCCTCAAATATTAATACTACAGTGTCTGTGTACCGAGGAAATGTGTATTTTTAATTCTACCGTTACATCGATACTTACCCTGGTGAATCCAAGATCACTGAGGCACAAACTATTGAATCAAACATTTATTTACAACAAAAATCTTATGACTTTAAGCCCAGAAGTGAGAGCCCTTGACATTTAGTAATATTTTCTATTTTTTTTCCTTCAAATCTATGATTTGTCTACACAGCCGGTATGAAACCTATCAGTCATCTTTAGAAGCGATGAAGTTTTTCTTTTCGATTTATAGCTAGCCCATATCATATCTGAGGGCCAAGTTTCCTCTCTTTTCATTGACTTTTTCTCTGCAAGACAAATTTAAACATGCTTAATATAGAAATAGAATGTATTCAAACGGATGGAAAGAACTAAAACCATGTCTGGCTAATCTTAAAATGTTAACTTATAAGAAAATAAGCAAGTTTAAAACAAATAACTAATTATTCATCAAATTTCGAAATAACTGGCTTGTTCTCACAGAAAGGGAAGAATTACTTTCAAAAAATTAACTTTTTTTAACTTAAAAGTAAGAAAAATAAGTTATCCAAAACTCCAGAAAAGTAACTTTTATGTTTATTCAAGCTTTGGCAAACATGATCAAGAAGATCACTGTAACATGCACCCACCTGTATCCTGTAGTTACAGTCCAAGACCTTCACGCAGTTCGTCCTTCCGAAGTTTATAGTACAGTGGCAACTTTTGACTCTTCGCAATGACCCTGAGATCTTTCACTGTCAAATCCTTCACATTCTTGATAGACGAAGCTGGAAGAGAGAGCGATTTTACATCCTGACCAACCATTGTTCGATCTGACTTATTATCATGCAAATTTTCTAACTTAAAGGGAACAATTCTGAGCTCTTTATTCTCGACTTGGGAGCTCAAAGATAATTTCTTTTTCTTTTGTAGTCGGGATACTGAACTAGTGCTGACTTCTGAACAAACACCTAACTGGTTACTGCCAATATTTTCAGAGATTTCAATTTTTTGCTGACTCTTAAATTTGTCTGTGGATGATGATTTAAAATCTATTTCTTCCGTAAGACACGGTTCTTGAAAAATTACAAGCTCCTGACAGTACCTCTCTGTTGTTTGAACTTCTGGGTCCGACATTAAGTTAAATTTCGCCTGCTTCATGTCAACCTCCTCAATTTTCAATACTTCTTTAGCTTGAGGTTTTTGTTTTACCTTCATCTGTGGCTTGCTCGCACATTTTCTTTTGCGATTGCTCAACTCAAGAAGTATGCCCGAAATGGTAAGTTCAGTTGCAGTAGCCCGAGCCTCCGTTATTTTTGTTCTTCCACAAACATTCGTCCGTTTCCTTTCTCTCTGCAACTGAATTCTGGAGCCAATCTTTTTCGTGTCAGCAACTTCTTGCCTCCTTGCTTTTTGTATACTACTGGAATCTTCAGTTACTTGTTTCTTAACATCTAACTGGGTATCCAAGATTGTATCTGCAGGCTGATAAATATCTCAAATAAGCGCTGCTGACAAAATAATTATCATCGTTTAGCTTTTAGACATTCTGTGAATAAGCTTGAGTCTCGGATTTAAATTATGCAAAAAGCCTTTCTCGCTATCAAAAATATATATATATATGAATAAATTGCATCTTACAGGATTTAAATCTATAGTACACCAAAGATTTAGAAGACCTCTGTTATATCCACCATGAATCTTTATTGTGGGACGATGTAAATTTACCTATAAGCCATATGATTAATGGAAAATGCTCAAATAAGTTACTCGTAGAGGTTGCATATATTGAATGTGTTTTCTTCGAGTACAAACTGGTCTCAGACAAATGAAATTATATTACCATGTACCATGTCAACAATCTTATTCTGGCTTTTCAGGCATAAAAGTAAAACATGAAAATTCAATGTAGAACTTCAAATTGTAATTTGTAAGCCATAATTATGAATTCGCATCTTGTGAATGATTGAAGGTGCTCAAATAAGGTGGTCATTTAGTACATATATTTACCACTTTTGCTTTATGAACAAAAACTAGACCAGGACAAACCAGATGTATAATGTCAAAAAATTGAAAAAACATGAAAAGTTGAGATCTTACAAGGAGCAATACTACTTATCTAAGTATGATACTTGAGCACTGGCTTGAAGTTAAGCAGTGGGAGAGTTTCTTGTACCTTAACTGTTTCAGCAAGTTTTGTTTCCATTCCTTGTGAGTCTAGAGACGAAATTAACACTTCACTTTTATCAGTAAAACTACATTGAATGAATTCTATGTTTATGTTTCTCTTCTTTTTGCTTCCCTTTGAACCAGCTTTTTCTTCACAAGTACTTGCACTCGAATCTTTTACCAATGCATTCTGCAGTTGTACATTTTTAGGGGGTCAGAACGCAAGTGAGGTGAAGAATTTAATCTTAAATATTCATATTGCGAAACATATACACAGTGAGCATATTTTGATATATACCTTTTCTGATTTGGAGGGATTTGTTTTCTTCCTTACCTTATCAGGAGAAGAACTCAGCTTTTGTGTTTCCGACTGTCCATTTAATTCGTTTATATTTTTCTCAGTTGCATATGTATGGGCATTCAAAATGGAACTCACAGCATCTTCCTCCTATTCAACAGTCGAGGGAAGGAGTGAAATAATGTACACACAGCAAAAGACAATAATCTCGCATGGTAAGAAAAATTCAATCCAACAACGGAAATGTCATGTGCCAGGCAGTTAAGCTACATTCTCAAACACTAAGAGCATGTTTGGTTCGGCATAAAAAGTTTACTTAGTAAACTTACTTAAGTAAATAAGTTTGTCTTAAATTAAATAATTTTTATTTGTTAAAGTTGGAAATCAGTATGTTACTTTCGTAGTAATATAAGAGCTACTCCAAGAGAAAATAATATTTTTTATTCAAAAGTAAGAAAAAGTGAGTTACCCTGACATGTTGGAAGCAAAAGGATTTATTTTTAAGCTTAGCAAATCATGTTGTCAACTGGCTTTCTGATGATCGTAAAATATACAAAAAAATCTTGGTACCTTGTCCCTTGTCTCTACGTATGCTTCTTGTTCAAGTTTCGCGGGTAAAGGTCTAATAATCTTTTCTGGGACTTCTATGGAACAGCCTACTAACTTTGAAGTGCTCAATGTCTTCTCCTCTGAAATTCTGGTTGCTAGTTTCTTAGAAATTGATTTCTGGGTAGTGGTATTTTAAGGCATTACTCTTAGCATATCAGATTTTTTTAATCACAGACAGTTTATTAAAACTAACAAATTCATCACTCGACAAAATGATCAAAGGTAAGGAACAAGTTATGCAACATTATCCAACAGCAACAGATCTGACTAGAGGTCGGCTTCAAGAATATATTTTGAGCCATTACCAAAAGATTCAACAAAATAAAATCTTTTTCAACTATATCTGTCATATTAATTCATTCTACTTCTCCCTTTTCTAACCTATTATATTAGTATCATATTGCTCTTGTGAGTGGAAATGTCTTTACATGACATACTGAAACCATCTAAGTTGTCATCCCTTATTTTATCCTCAATTGGTGGTATCGGCTTGTCAATATATTCCCCATTTCTTATTTTCACTATTGCCCTCATATAGCCACACATCTTTCTTAACATCCTCGTATTTTGCACATTAATGTTATGGATATTTCATGCTTCAATGTCCCAACATTCACTATCATAAATCATAGCTGGTGAAATGCATAGAACTTGGCTTTCAACTTGGTCTGTATTTTCCAATCACATAGAATCCCTATAAGTTTCCATTTGTCCAAACCACCCTAATTTTACGCATTACATCCTCTTCAAATCCTCCTTCCATGTTATAATCAAACATAAATATCTAAAACAATCACTATTCTGAAAACATGATCCTCTATTGCGAACCCCCCATTTTCCTTTCTCATTCTATGACTAAAAGAATATTCTATGTATTTTGTCTTAGTAAACCTAAGAAAATACATGGAGTTTATTGGTTTAAAAGGATGGTAAAGAGAAGTTAATTAAGAAGTTCATCTGATAAATTCAACTAGGCATTATTGCATAAGGTATTAGAGGAGAGATTGAAGAAAACGACAATGACAAAGGCATTTATTAAAAATAGATGAAAGAACAAGGAACAGATTGTGACCGAAAACAACGAAAAACCACATTTTTGGACACATCTCAAATGGTGTATCTTCTTGTCAAGATCTTCACCATGCTTTTGGTAGTGATTAACAAATGGACACGCATCATTCATGTGAAAAAAGGGCGGGAAGTAGGTGATATGAAGTTACAGCTTTAGGATGCTTTATCCTCCTCAATTCAGGGTCTTCAGATGGACCTTGGTACTTAGTCTTTTTCATCCGAGTGAAGCCTTTTTTTGCTTTCAACTTTCTATGTTCGGAACAGCACATCGATATTCTAATTTCATCTGCGGGTTTGATGGACCTCCGAATAATACTGATTCCTGTCTGTTCATCATAGAAAGTCAGGTCATAAGTAGATAAGTTAATACAGCCACCATCTCCCCTAAATTATAGGAAAAGAAGAGGAGGAAGAACATATTAAACCAAATGAAGGTTTCTTAGCATGGGAGACTCGAAGGAAATCTGATTGATTTTTTTTATTTTTTTATTTTTCAATGAAAATAAGCAGAAAAATATGAAAGTTCTGAACTCTACCTGATTTTTTTCCAGTAGAAAGCAATTGTCCCATAAAGACTTCAAAATATCATGCAATCTCTCAACCGGTTTCTTATTTTTCAGTAACTCGACACCAAAGATATGCTCATCTCCTGAAATTTCTTTCTTCAAGGTCAACATTGAAATATTGAGATGATCAATCTTTTCTTTCAAAGTGGCAGAGCATAGGTCACACCAGTCTTTATCACTCCAAGTCAGTTTGCTCTGAAGTATCACTACATCTCCTTCAAGTTCCATTATTTCTTCATTTGCCTTGTTTACCAATATCCTTAGAACTTGTATGCAAGATTTTTCATTCAACTCATCTTCTTCAATTGCATCTTTTAGCAAAGAAAAAAAAAAGAACGAAGAGTAGAGTGAATACGGACTCAAAAGAATAAAGCATGTTAAAGTCAAAAGGCTAAAACAAACTAGCTTACCATGCCCATAACCAAAATAAAAATCACTGTGCCAGTAGTCGTCAATATAATAGTTGTTTTCATCTGCAACTGAGAAACAAGAAATGATTTACGTAATAAAAAAATGCAAATGGTCTAAGGAAGAGGTAGAATATAGATATCATTTAACATCTCAACCTCTCTCCAGGAAACTTTTTCATCAGAAAAACCATTATGGACAAATTATGGACAACTTAATCATGATATGTGCTTAGGAAACAACAATACAGAACCTTGATCATCTGATGGATCCCAAAGAGCAAAATCCATAACTTCAGAAAACTTCAGCCTGAAATGTAAAGATGAAATCTCTCACAACCATATATCTGTTCAGTAAGTATATGGAAAAATGTCCATTGTGCATATATTTCAAGGATATATCACAATCATGGCTCATGAGTCGTGATAGCTACACAAACAGGACGTGCTCCATTAATTGTGGTCTAGTGTTCACCATCGCCTCTGTAACCAGTTCTCTACGAGTTCTTTTCCAGTATGTACTTACTCCAATTTTCAAAATAAGAAGTACCACATGTCAGCAAAAGGTTAGGAAATAAACTGTGAAACAGAGAATCTAAGCACCAGGAGAGGTCTGAGGACCCAGAAAGTAAGAAAAAGGAAAAGTGAGTCAAAATCAAGTCATATCTCCAACAAAACAATTCCATTGTTTTATCATTGCTACAATTACATAATATGTGCTGTGATATATAAACTCCTCTCCATTTAAATCCCTCAAAATCAACAATTCAGAACATACTCTGATCTAAATTGCACGATTGATAACAGGATTTTTTAGACAAGATAACTGGGGGAAATAAGCACGAGTTCAAAAGAGAACAACAATCTAAAATAAAAATTAGGAAAATAGAAGAAACATATAATCCAAAATCAGAAACTGAATTGTCCTCATACTCCTTTTCAAAATTTTTTTCTTTTTCTTTTGAAGCCTGAAAGAATCCGGAAGCACATAATTTCACCTTCGCAGAAATTTTAATAATTTGTGACGATGTTTATA